AGTTTTCCACATATGGCTAGCCATTCTCCAAGCACCATTTATTAAACAGGAAATCCTTTCCCCATTGCTTGTTTTGGTCAGGTTTGTGGAAGACCAAATGGCTATAGATGTGAGGTTCTATTTCTGGGTTCTTTATTCTGTTCCATTGGTCTATGTGTCTGTTTCTGTACCAACATCATGCTGTTTTGGTCACTGTGGCCTTGTAGTATAGTTTGAAGTCAGGTAGTATGATGCCTCCAGATTTGTTCTTTTTGCTTAGTATTGACTTGGCTATCTGGGCTCTTTTTTGCTTCATAGAATTTTAAAATAGTTTTTCTAATTCAGTGAAGAATGTTAGTGGTATTTTAATGGGGAGAGAATTGAATGTATAAATTGGTGTAGGCAGTATGGCTATTTTTACAATACTGATTCTTCCTATCCATGAGCATGGAATGTTTCTTCATTTGTTTATATCCTGTCTGATTTCCTTGAGCAGTGGTTTGTCGTTCTTCTTGAAGAGGTCCTTGTTAGCTGTAATTTCTAGGTATTTTATTCTTTTTGTAGCAGTTGTGAATGGGTGTTCATTTGTGATTTGGCTTTCTGTTTGCTTGGTGGTGGTGTATAGGAATGCTACAATTTTGGCACATTGATTTTATATCCTGAGACTTTGCTGATGTTGCTTATGAGTTTAAGAAACTTTTGAGTTGAGATGATGGGGTTTTCTAAATATAGGATTATGTCATCTGCAAACAAAGATAATTTGACTTCCCCTCTTGCTGTTTGAATACCCTTTATTTCTTCCTCTTGCCTAATTGCCCTGGCCAGAACTTCCAATACTATGTTGAATAGGAGTGGTGAGAGAGGATATCTTTGTTTTGTGCCAGTTTTCAAAGGGAATGCTTCCAGCTTTTGCCCTTTCAGTATGATATTGGCTATGGGTTTTTCATATATAGCTTTTCTTATTTTGAGGAATGGTCCTCCAATACCTAGTTTATTGAGAGTTTTTAATGTAAAGGAATGTTGAATATTATCAAAGGCCTTTTCTGTATCTATTGAGATAATCGTGTGGTTTTTGTCTTTAGTTCTGTTTACGTGATGAATGACATTTATTGATTTGCCTATGTTGAACCAACCTTGCATTCTGGGGATGAAGCTAACTCGTTTGTGGTGAATAAGCTTTTTGATGTGCTGCTGGATTTGATTTGCCAGTATTTTATTGAGGATTTTATCATCGATGTTCATCAGGGATAATGGCTTGAAGTTTTCTTTTTTTGTTGTGTCTCTGCTAGGCTTTGGTATCAGGATGATGCTGGCCTCATAGAATGAGTTAGGAAGGAGTTCATCCTCTTCATTTTTTGGAATAGTTTCAGTAGAAATGGTACCAGCTCCTCTTTTTACCTCTGGTAGTATTCAGATGTGAATCCATCTGGTATTTTTGGTTTGTAGGCTGTTTATTACTGCATCAATTTCACAACTCGTTATTGGTGTATTCAGGGATTTGATTTTTTCCTGGTTCAGTCTTGGAAGGGTGTATTTGTCCAAGATATGGTCTATTTCCTGTTTGTATTTCTGTGGGGTCTCATCATTTCTTTTTGTGTTTATTTTATTCTTCCCTTTTTGTCTTTATTAGCCTAGTGAATGGTCTATCTATTTTATTAACTTTTTTCAAAGAAATGACTTTTGGATTTGCTTATTTCCTTTAAGGGTTTCCCATGCCTCTATCTCCTTCAGCTCAACTCTGATCTTGCTTATTTCTTGCCTTCTGCTAGCTTTGGGATTTGTTTGCTCTTGGTTCTCTAACTCTTTTAGTTAAGCTGTTAGGTTGTTAACATGAAATCTTTCTAGGTTTTTGATGTGGTCATTTAGGGCTATAAATTTCCCTCTTAACACTGCTTTAGCTGTAGCCCAGAGATTTTGGTATGTTGTTTCTTTGTTCTCATTAGTTTCAAAGAACCTGTTGATTTTTGCCTTTATTTTATTATTTCCCCAAGAGTCATTCAGAAGCAGGTTATTCAATTTATATGTATTTGTGTGATTTTGAGTGGGTTTCTTAATCTTCAGTTCTAATTTGATTGTGCTGTGGTCTGAGAGACTGTTATGATTTCGGGTCTTTTGCATTTGCAGAGGAGTGTGATCACTTCCTATTATGTAATCCTATTATGTGACCAATTTTAGAGTAAATGTTGTATAGCTATGAGAAGAATATATATTCTGTTGTTTTGGGGTAAAGAGTTCTACAGATGTCTATTAGGTCCATTTGGTCAAGTTCAGGTTCTAAATATCTCTTAATTTTCTGTCTCAATAATCTGTCTAATATTCTCAGAGGGTTGTTAAAGTCTCCCACTATTATTGTGTGAGAGACTAAATCTCTTTGTAGGTCTCTAAGAACTTGCTTTCTGAATCTGGGTGCTCCTGTATTGAGTGCATATATATTTAGGGTAGTTAGCTCTTGTGGAATTGAACACTTTACCATTATGTAATGCCCTTCTTTGTCTTTTTCAATCTTTGTTGGTTCAAAATCTGCTTTGTTAGAAACTAGGGTTGCTACTCTGGCTTTTTTTCTGTTTTTCATTTGCTTGGTAAATTTTCCCCTATCCCTTTATTTTGAGCCTATTATAATGAAAAAAGAATGACATACTTCAGCTTATCATCCAGGAGAACTTTTTCAACCTAGCAACACAGGCCAACATTCAAATTCAGAAAATGCAGAGAACCCCAGTAAGATACTCCATGAGAAGATCAACCCTATGACACATAATCATCAGGTTTTCCATGGTCAAAATGAAAGATATGCTGAAGTACATCTTCTAACTTGGTTCCATTCTTCCCATCTGTTTCAGGTACCCCAGTCAGTTACAGTTTCGGTGTCTTTCCATAATCCCATAATTCTCAGTAGTTTTGTTCATTATCATTCTTTTTTCATTATTCTTTTCCACCTGTCTTATTTCAGAAAGATAGTCTTCAGGATCTGAGATTCTTTCCTCCACTTGGTCTATTCTGCTATTGATACTTGTGATTGCATTGTGAATTTCTTGTGTTTTTCCACTCCATTTGGTAACTTATGTTCCACTCTAAATTGGCTATTCCAGCTATCAGCTCCTGTATTGTTTTATTATAGTTCTTTGAATTTGGTGGGTAATTCTTTGAATTGGGTTAGAACATGCTCCTTTAACTCAGTGAAATTCGTTATTACCCACCTTTTGAAGCCTTATTTCTGTCAATTCATCTCAGCCTTAGCACAGTTCTGTTGCAATCATTTGGAGGGGGAGAGGCACATTGGCTTTTTGAGTTGTCAGTGTTTTTGCATTGATTCTTTCTCATCTTTGTGGGCTTATCTATCTTTGATCTTTGAGGTTGCTGACCTTTGAGTGGGGTTTTTATGGGGGTTTTTTTGTTGTTGATGTTGTTCTCTGTTTGTGTTGTGTTTTGTTTTGTTTTGTTTTGTTTTGTTTTAAGACAGAGTTTTGTTCTGTCACCCAGGCTGGAGTGCAGTGGCACAATCTCGGCTCACTGCAACCTCCACCTCCCAGCTGCAAGCCATTCTCCTGCCTCAGCCTCCTGAGTAGCTGAGATTACAGGCATGTGCCACTACACCCAGCTAATTTTTGTATTTTTCGTAGAGACAGGATTTCGCCATGTTGGCCAGGGTGATCTTGAACTCCTGACCTCAGGTGATCTATCCACTTCAGCCTTCCAGAGTGCTGGGATTACAGGCATGAGCCACTGCCCAGCCTCTGTTTGTCTTTCTTTTAACAGTCAGGCCACTTTACCATAGGGCTGCTCTGGTGGCTAGGGCCCCCTCAGTGGAAGATCTCACCCAGTCAGGAGAAAGGGAATCAGGAACCTACCCCCAATGAAGCAGTCTGGTTGCTTCTTGGTAGAGCAGGCATGTTTCACTGGTGGGTGACCCTTCTTTGTAGACCATCTGTATTCTCCGCAGCCAGCCGGGTAGAATGGCTGAGTTTACAGAACCTCAGAGATGGTGCTGCCCCTCACCTGGGGATCACCCTCCAGGAAGAGATCTCTATCCATAAAACCAAAGACTCCCATAGTGAGGAAGAGTAGGTCAAGCCCCAGTTAAGGAAGCAGTCTGGCCATGATCTGGCAAGGCAGGTGCACTGCACTGTGAGAAGGCCCCGCCTCATCTCCACAGCTGAGACTAGGGAACTGCGGATATGGCAGCCACCCTTTCCCCTGAGAGTTCTCTGCTAGGGAGAGATCAGAGCTCTGTCCATGGAACCAAGGACCTGCCCAGTGAGGAGGCGTGTGTCAGGGACCTGGTTAAAAATGCAGTCTGGCCCCAATCTGGTAAGGCCACTGCATTGTACCGTCGGGGGCCCCTCCTTGTCTGGACCATCTGCACTGTTCACAGCTGGGAAGCTGGAACAGCTCTTTCCCCCAAACCGCATAGATGGCACTCTCCTCACTGGATCTCAGTCCTGTCTCTGGTGGACTTCAGCCGTCTACCATTGGCCGATGGGGATTCCAAGCCAGTGGGTCTTAACCTTGAGGTGCTGTGGAAGTGAAGCCTGCAAAAGGACGCTGTTTGGCTCCCTGTATTCAGCCCCCTTCCTGGGGATGTATATGGACAGATTTTCCACATTGGTGGGGATCCTGGGGTTGGAACATGTATTCTAGGTATATTACTTCTGAGTTCAACAGAGAAAACAGCACTAATTTAATCTTGGAGTTTTCCACTATTTTTACTTCCCCAGGTTATTAGTTAGTGATGCTGGTATAAGATTTAGGAAGATTTAAGAATACAAGATTTAGGAAATACAAATGGATAAGCATCAATCAAAATTCAATCTTTAGCTCTAAAATACATACAAATGTGTAAGATCTCTTTCACATACATACCACATAAACTTTATGAAAACTCTATTTTAATTTCAAATAAAATTTATGCTTCAATTATATAGGTAGACATATATATGTGTGTGTGTGTGTGTGTATATATGTGTGTGTGTGTGTGTGTGTGTGTGTGTGTGTGTGTGTATGACATTGTCTTTCTTTTTCAGAGCCAGATCACATTTTATAATGATTGTATTAAAAGTTTTGCGAGTTCTCATTCAAGAAAAAAATTGGAAAAAGTCCACGCTGGTCTGATATGTCATCTAGAAGAGGTTGCAGAGCTGGTAGTGCTGGATACTAGTAACTCTCGAACAAAAGCTGTACTAGAGGCACTGCTTACCCTTTATGTTCACTGCAGAGATATAGTGATAAATTTACTGCTAAAAAATATCTTCAATGCAGAGGATTTTGAGTGGACAAGGTAGGTAGATCGACATTATAACTACATACAATAACTTCTCACAAATATATGTTTAGGTAAATTGATTCTCTACCTCAAACTTTGTCAAACTGGAATTTTAGTTTTGGGGGCTTTACCAAAATTCTAAGCAAAATGTACCAATTTGAGTACATTAGTCCCCCTTTATCTGCTGTTTTGCTTTCCAGTTTCAGTTACTGCAGTCAGTCATGGCCTGAAAATAAGTGAGTATATTACAATTAAGATATTCAGAGAGACAGATCACATTCATATAACATGTATTAGAGTATATTGTTCTAGTGTTCTATTTCATTATGTCATTGTTGTTCATCTCTTACTGTGCCTCATTTATAAACTAAGCTTTATTATAGATATATATGTATAGGAAAAGGCATAGTATGGTATATAGAGGGTCTGGAACTATACAGTATGTGGTTTGAACTATAGGCATCTTCTGGGGGACCCCTGAAGTGTATCCCATGCAGATAAGGGAAGATTACTGCATTCTACTACTGTTTTTCCTTCTTTCACTTTTCTATTGTCCCTTCACCTCAGTTTTACTTCTTTCTGATTTGTCTTTCTGACCTGATTAGGCTCTTTTGATAGTTGCGTTCTCCCTTTTCCATTTAGCCAGAGGGCAGTAGCTTTCCATGGGCAGTCAGAACTCTACCTCAAGTCTCTTCTTTCCCCTGTGCTGTTAATTCTGGAACAGACTCAGGGGAAACGAACTGAAAGACATTTCTAGCCAGCTCCCTAACTCAAAACTGCCTTCCTCCTATCTGGAGTCATTAGTAAAATATGAAAGTATAGAAAAATAGAGCCGCTCCCTTTGATGAGAAGAAATTTAGCATAAAGCTCCAAAAATAAATGTGCAGTTAACGTACATTCTGCAGTTAGCATAAGTTTTCTTATTTTAGGTATGACAGTTTTCTGTGAAGGAAGCAGACAAAGTCTTAAGTATATAACTGAGGCCACTGTTGACTATATTTTTATCTGAATACTTTATATGTGATATATAGACACTTCTCAAAAGAAGACATTTATGCAGCCAACAAACATTTGAAAAAAAGCTCATCATCACTGATCATTAGAGAAATGCAAATCAAAACCACATTGAGATGCCATCTCATGTCAGTTAGAATGGCAGTTATTAAAAAGTTCAGGTAACAACAGACGTTAGAGAGGATGTCGAGAAATAGGAACGCTTTTACTCTGTTGGTGGGAGTGTAAATTAGTCCAGTCATTTTGGAAGACAGTGTGGTGATTACTCAAGGACCTAGAACTAGAAATACCATATGACCCAGCAATCCCATTACTGGGTATATAGCCAAAGGATTTTAAATCATTCTACTATAAACACACATGTACATGTATGTTTATTGCAGCTCTGTTCACAATAGCGAAGACTTGGAACCAACCTAAATGCCCATCAAAGATAGACTAGAAAAAGAAAATGTGGCACGTATACACCATGGAATACTATGCAGCCATGAAAAAGGATGAGTTCATGTCCTTTGCAGGGACATGGATGAAGCTGAAAAACCATCATTCCCAGCAAACTAACACAAGAGCAGAAAACCAGACACTGCATATTTCCTCATAAGTGGAAGTCGAACAGTGAAAACACATGGACATAGCGAAGGGAATATCAGACACCGGGCCTGTCAGGGGTTGGGGGCTAAAGGAGGAATAGCATTAGGAGAAATACCTAATGTAGATGACGGGTTGATGGGTGCGGCAAACCATCATGCCACGTGTATACCTATGTAACAAACCTGTACATTCTGCCCATGTACCCCAGAATTTAAAGCATAATTACTAAAAAAAATTTTTTTAATGTGTAGGAATGATTTTTCACTTGACAATGTTTTAGTCAAACATAAAATTCTTTACAAAATATTGTTTTATAGTTTTTCATTGATAGTGCCCAAATATGTTTATTTTGAGAATTGAGTTAGCACTGATTGGAACATAAAATAGACTCAAGAATATATACCACACAGCTACAAATAGTTCAGATATTTAACTCAAAACCTTGTAGAGGTGAACATTTATGGTTAGCTACATAATTCACAGTGTTCATAATATAAACACACATCAGTTTCTCCAAAGTTCAATTTGTTTTCATATGTAGAACAAATAGCATTTCTCTCACGTCCCTCATAATAAGGATACAGATTATGATAAACATCATCTTCAATCACAGTCTTATTAGAAATCATAATAAACTTCACAGGGATGATTCTTATATCAGTCCTCCATTTTGATTGACATCACAGCAAAGCAGCATGATTCAGCAAGGTCATTAGCCTCAGAGGGAAGTGTGTTTACATGTTTGTAGTGTTGAGTTCTACTATTTCATACCTGGTATGATCAGTCATTGATGATTTTTATGTCACACTTCTCATTTGATTTTAATTTTTTGACTTCTATTTGTTTTTTTAATCAGTGCTCCATTTTTAATCCTGATTCTGTTTCTGCATGTGAAAAAAATAAAAATAATTTAACCAAATAATATGAATTTAAAATTTTGTTTTCAGACATTTGCAATATAAGTGGAATGAAAAACAAAAGTTGTGCTATGTATCTCAAGGAAATGCTAGCTTTACTTATGGCTATGAATACTTGGGCTGTACCTCAAGATTGGTTATTACACCTCTCACAGACCGATGCTGGCTGACTCTCATGGAAGCACTACACTTGAATGTAGGAGGCTGTCCTGCTGGTCCAGCTGGTACAGGAAAAACTGAGACTGTTAAAGACCTAGCAAAAGTAAGTAGTTTCTGTATCCAGGAAAAAACTTCTTTTTCTTTTTTTCCTGTCACATAAACTTTGATGGTATCTTAAATTTATACCATTCCTGCTATTAAGATGTTCATTGCATTAACAAGTACATTCATTAATTCACATATAGTTAATTAATCAATGAACTTTTCAATGCCTGTTGTGTGCTGGCACCTAGAATCTCAATAAGCCAACGTAAGCTTTTTATTTAGTTGGAATACTACTTTACTGACTGACATGTGAATGATTAATATCATTATGTGTGTGTGTGTGTGTGTGAGAGAGAGAGAGAGAGAGAGAAACAGAGAGAGAGACAGAGACAGAGAGAGTCTGTGTGTGTGTGTGCGTGTGTGTGTGTGAGAGAGAGAGAGAGAGACAGAGACAGAGAGAGACAGGCACAGAGGGAGCCAGAGAGATAGAGACAGAGAGAGAAAAGCAGTAGTAGTTACTGATAAAAGCAAAGGATATAGCTTGTGACCTAGAATTTTTTTCATAGATTTTTATTTGTAGATTGATGTAAAAATATGACCTTAATGCTCTAAAAACTAATCAACTGAACTATAACAGCATATTTACATTTGTACTATTACATTGAGTTTTGTGAATCTCTAAATTTGGTTTTTAATTCATCTCCACATTGCAAAAGTTTTCTCAAAAGCATGAAGACATTTTATTACTCTAGCAGTTTTAACATTAGTATTTTGTGTCATAATTCAAGAAGGATATTAAAATATTTTTGTTTCCCAGTCCTTAGGCAAACATTGTGTGGTCTTCAACTGTTTTGAGGATTTGGACTATAAGGTAAAGCTTAAACATATGTACTCAGGAAGAAAATATTGTACACATAAAACAAGACAATTCACTGAAGAACAAAAGAACAAGAAAAATATTTATCTGAGACGAACATCAAGTATTAACAGAACTTTAAATGCTATTACTTCTTTTAAGCTATATAGAAACCTAGAATGTAATAGAAACTTAAAACATTGCATACGTTGCTTTTATTTGAGTGAACTACTCCTTAAGACAGTGGCTTTCAAACTTTACAACAGTTGGATTCTTCAAAAAAAAATCTTACATGGAACATGAATATATAAAACATATAAAACAATTAAGAGTACTGCTTTATTAACATACATTTGTTTTAAGTCCTAACCCCATATATTTATTTACTGAAAAGGTAATCATTAAGATAAGGCTATTATGATTAACCCAAATATTTGAGAGTTTATATAGATGATGATTACAAGTTTATGTCAGTCTTGTTTTGTTTGCACATTATCTGACATATAACATTCTGAAATATGTTATTAAAATTTCATGTCTTTTACAAATCTACTCAAAGTTTCAGAATACTGCAGTTTGTTTTGCATGTTAAGTCCAAACCTTATACATTTTATTGCTGTCATTTTATTTGGTGTTTGAAGCACATTACCTCTGAAATCCTGCATTTACAATTTGGGCAGGATTCAATAAGCTGATTCAACTATTATCTTTAAGATACTTACCAATAGACTCTGTTACCTCCTTCCTGGAAATCACCAGTGGGACCTATGAGGGCTCCACATGAGAGAGACCAAAAAGCCTGCTATTTAAGATAAATAAAATGCAATATTTTTTTAATCAAAATTAATGCCCCCAAAAATCTCATGAACAAAATATCAAAAATTTAAATTAAGACAGGATCTGATTCCTGCTGCTCTGGGGAAGGAACCACCTCTATATCCTTCCTGATCTGAGGGTCTCACTTGCTCATTCTCATTCCCACTTTCTTTCCTCTTTGCCATACCTAGCAATAGAGTTCAGGCATCCCTCAACTTGCTTTCAGCCCACAGAAGTTCTCTTAGGCCTGTCAGTATTTTTGTTTGTTTTGTTGCTTTGTTTTAGTTGCTAATATTTACAAACCAATGAATTTCAATCCTAGACTTTCAGCCTCTCGAAGAACACTGGTGTACCTGGCCACCGGGGCCTGCACACTGGAAAGTGGCAGAAGCCCAGCAGCAGCTGCATGCTTTAGCTGGGCCCACTCCAGTCTGGCCCGGAATCTACCTCTTGCCTTATCTGGACCTCATTCAGTCTTTTGCATTGCCCACCAGCTGCCCGCCAGTAAGCCATAAGGCATCTTTGCCTGATCCAGAAAAGGCAGCCCCAGATTCACACACTTTATGCCCATCTGCCTGTCAGAAAGTTGTCCTAAAAACCCTGCCCCAGGGTGCAACTCTGTGAGGGAAATGGCTCCCCAGAGGGGGATCTGGCACATCTTTGTACAGCCCATCAGAAGTTGTGGCCCTGTCTGCATGGTCCCTGTGAGCATCAGAGTTTGTTCTGCTGAGTGTTTGGGCTTTCAGAGAGACAGGCAAAGCAGTTGACTCTCTAATGTCTAAGCAGCTGCTGCTCTCAGCCCTATAAAAATGCCTACCTGGGGGAAATGCAAAAGGCCTTTGCTTGGTTTGGGCAACATGGGGAGAACACGTACAAATTAACATCCCAGTAAATTTTCTTACCATTATAATTTTAGTAATCAGTCTTTTTTTTTTTTTTTTAAAGATAGTGAGAAAATTTTTCTTTGGACTAGTTCAGTCAGGAGCGTGGTGTTGTTTCGATGAATTCAATCTAATTGATTTGGAAGTTCTCTCTGTCATTGCCTCACAGCTCCTAACAATTAAGGCTGCAAAAGACAACTATTCTGCCAGGTATTTGTTGAATGTGTTTATACCTTTTGAATTGAATCTGATATACACTTACTGTTTAGTATATTATTGTTAGATATTGTCCCCCAATAAGTGTTTAGATCTTTGGAATTTTTTTGTTTTTTGTTTTTTTTTTAAGCACAAACCAAAAGGAATGGCAGTTATCTTGAATGTTTGCATTACTTGGCAAATAACGGGAATATATTTGTAACTAACTTTCAGGCCAACTTAGAGGTATCCAAATTCTTGCCCAAGCTTTGGAACAGTCTCCTGAGCTACCAGGAAACTGATACAAATATATTTTAATTATTTTTTCAGCTTAAATTCATGTATTATCTTTTCATCTTAGAATATTGCATTTGAAGAAACCAAACAAATGTTGCTTTTTTTTCTTTATTTCCACATTTTTTAAGTCTTTAAGTTCAGGGGCACATGTGTAGGTTTGTTATATAGGTAAACTGGTGTCATGGGGATTTTTTGTACAGATTATTTCGTCACCCAGGTATTAAACCTAGTTAGTTAAATTTTCTGATCCTCTCCCTCCTCTCACCTTCTACCCTCCAGTAGATCCTACTGTCTGTTGTTCCTCACTATGTGTCCGTGTGTTCCCATCACTTAGCTTCTACTTGCATGTGAGAATATGAGGTATTTGGTTTTCTACTACTGCATTAATTTGCTTTGGATAATGGCCTCCAGTTTCATCCATGTTCCTGCAAAGTACATGATCTCATTATTTTTTATGGCTGCATAGTATTCAGCCATGCATATGTACCACATTTTCTTTATCCAAGCTACCATTAATGGGCATTTGTGTTGATTCCACATCTTTGCTATTGTGAATAGTGCTGCAGTGAACATATCTACGCATGTGTCATTATTTAAAACAACTTGTATTGCTTTGGGTATATAGTCAGTAATGGGATTGCCGGTCAAATAGTAGTTCTGTTTTTAGGTTTTTGAGAATCGTCACATTGTCTCTCACAATAATTGAACTAATTTACACTCCCACCAAGAGCATATTAGTGTTTCTTTTCCTCTGCAACCTTGCCAGCACCTGTTATTTTTTGACTTTTTAGTAATAGCCGTTCTGACTGGTGTGAGATGGTATCTCATTGTGGTTTTGATTTGCTTTTCTCTAATGATCAGTGATGTTGAGTTTTTTTGGTTTTTTGTTTGTTTCTTTGTTTTTTTTGAGATGGAGTTTCGCTGTCATTGCCCAGACTGGAGTGCAATAGCACAATCTCGGCTCACCACAACCTCTGCCTCCTAGGTTCAAGCAATTCTCCTGCCTCAGCCTCCCAAGTAGCTGGGACTACAGGCATGCACCATCATGCCCAGCTAATTTTTGTATTTTTGGTAGAGACGAGGTTTCACCTTGTTGACCAGGATGGTCTCGATCTCTTGACCTCGTGATCCACCTGCCTCGGCCTCCAAAAGTGCTGGGATTATAGGCGTGACCCACCACGCCCGGCCAATGTTGAGTTTTTTTGTGGTATGCTTGTTATCTGCATGATTTTCTTCTTTTGAAAAGGGTCCCTTCATGTCCTCCGCCCACTTTTTAATAGAGTTGTTTGGTTTTTGCTTGTAAATTTATCTAAGTCACTTATAGATTCTGGATATTAGGCCTTTGTCAGATGAATAGTTTGTAAAAATTTTCTTCCATTCTATGGGTTGTCTGTTTATTCGGTTGATAGTTTCTTTTGCTTTGCAGAAACTCTTCAGTTTAATTAGATCCCATTTGTCAATTTTTGCTTTTATTGCAATTACTTTTGTCAATTGAAAGATTTCATCATGAAATCTTTGCCCATTCCTATGTCCAAAATGGTACTGCCTAGGTTGTCTTCCAGGGTTTTTATAGTTTTGGGTTTTACATTTAAGTCTGTGATCCATCTTGACTTGATTTTTGTATATGATGAAAGAAAGAGGCCCAGTTTCAATCTTTTGCATCATTTGTTGAATGGGAAGTCTTTTCCCCACTGCTTTTGTCATGTTTGTCAAATACCAGATGGTTATAGGTGTGCAGCCTCATTTCAGGGCTCTCTATTCTGTTCTATTGGTCTATGTCTATGTTTTTTCTTTCTTTTTTTTTTTTTTTCACCAGTACCATGCTGTTTTGGTAATGGTAGCCTTGTAATATTGTTTGAAGTTGGTTAATGTGATGCTTCCAGCCTTATTCTTTTTGCTTAATATTGCCTTGGCTTTTCAGACTCGTTTTTGTTTCATATGAATTGTAAAATAATTTTTTTCTAATTCTGTGAATTATAATGTCATTGGTAGTTTGATAGGAATAGCACTGAATGTATAAATTGCTTTTGGCAGTATGGTCATTTTAGCAATATTGATTCTTCATATATGTAAGCATGGAATGTTTTTCCATTTGTTTGTGTCATCTTTTATTTTTTTGACCTGTGTTTTGTAGTTCTCCTTGGGAGAGTTCTTTCACCTTTCTGGTTAGCTATATTCCTAGGTATTTTATTGTTTTTATGGCAATAGTGAGTGGGATTGTGTTTCTGATTTGGCTCTTGGCTTGGCTGTTGGTGTGTAGGAATGCTAGTGATTTTTGTGGATTGATTTTGTATCCTGATACTTCACTGAAAGAAGCTTTTGGGCCAAGACAAGGGGGTTTTCTGGATATAGAATCATAGCATCTGCAAACAGGGATAGTTTTACTTCTCTTCCTACTTGGATGCCTTTATTTCTTTGTCTTGCCTGATTGCTCAGGCCAGGACTTCTAGGACTACATTGAATAAGAGTGGTGAGAAAGGGCATACTTGTCTTGTGCCAGTTTTCAAGGGGGATGCTTCCAGTTTTTGTCCATTCAGTATGATGTTGGCTATGAGTTTGTCATAAATGACTCATTATTTTGAGGTATGTTCCTTTAATACCTAGTTTATTGAGAGTTTTTAATATTAAGGATTTTGAATTATATCAAAAGCCTTTTCTGCATCTATTGAGATTATTGTGTGGTTTTTGTCTTTAGTCTTGTTTATGTGATGAATCCCATTTATTGATTTGCACATATTGGACCAACCTTGAACCCCATGCTTAAAGCCTATTTCATCATGGCGGATAAGCTTTTTTGATATGCTGCTGAATTCAATTTGCCAGTATTTTGTTGAGGATTCTTTCATTGATGTTAATGAAGAATATTAGCCTGAAGTTTTTTGTTGTTGTTGTCTCTGCCAGATTTTAGTGTCAGGATGATGCTCTTCCCATAGAATGAGTTACAGAGGAGTCCCTCTTCTTCACTATTTTGGAATTTTTTCAGTAGGAATGGTACCAGCCAGCTCTTCTTTGTATATCTAGTAGAATTCGGCTATGAATCTATTCAGTCCTGGGCTTTTCTTGGTTTTTGGTTGGTAGGCTACTTATTACTGATTACATTTTGGAGTTCATTATTGGTCTATACAGGACTTCAATTTCTTTCTGGTTCAGTCTTGGAAGGGTATGTGTGTCCAGGAATTTATCCATTTCTTCCAGATTTTCCAGTTTGTGTGCCTAGAGTGTTCATAATATTATCTAGTGGTTATTTGTATTTGTTTACACATACACTTTTTTTTTAAGGCAGACATATCACTCTGTTGCCCAGACTGGAGTGCAGTGGCTGGAGTGCAGTGGAGTGCAGTCAGCTTACTGCAACCTCTACCTCCTAGGTGTAAGTGATTTTCATGCCTCAGCCTCTGGAGTAGCTGGTATTACAGGTGTGCGCCATCACACCTGGCTAATTTTTATATTTTTAATAGAGGTAGGGTTTTTCCATGTTGGCCAGGCTGGTCTCAAACTCCTGACCTCAGACGATCTGCCCACCTAGACCTCCCAAAGTGCTGGGATTACAGATGTGAGCCACCACACCCAGCCAGATACGTTTAAAAAGCAAAGTGGGTATACTGGCCACATACCTGAAGAGCCCTCTTGTCTTGTTATTCTGAATTAATGTATTTTTATTGAAAAGTTCTATAACAATAGTATTTATTAGTATTACTAATGTTTAGTAATAAACACAAAAATGTTTTCTCTTTAGGTAAATTTAGAACTCACATGATTTATGGACATATAAAATTTTATTGTAACCTAATATTTCTAATGCAAGCTAATGGATACTAACTTGTGGCTTCCCTTTCATGAATTTTGTTCAAACTGTTAAAGCTAGTATTACAGGACTCATAAATCTGTGGGTATAGTTTGGAGGGGTGCAGTGACATTTCACTGACTCTTTGCTATACCTCAGCCTCTGCAAAGCTTTCCCCATTTATGTCCAGGGAGTTCCCCAGGTTCTATCCCACTTGTTTTCCTGTTTTGACCACCCGTTTTGGTATCAGCTATCTAAGAAATCGCTATAGGATTTCTCCCATTGTGTCTTCCACTGTTGCTGACTGTAGGACGCTGATGTTCATGCCAAGCATTCTATCTCATCTTGGTCCCAAAGTTTTTAAACTGGGGCTAGGTACACTTGAGAGACAGGCCGTGTTCCATGCTGAAGCAGGATCTCTGCTGTACCCCGTTCTGTGTTCTACTGTATCATCCAGGAAGAGCTCTTTTATTCCCTAAGCGTTTCCCCAGATTCCTTTTACTATGTAAGTCAACTCATTCAGCTAGGTATCCTCCAGCCTCAGGTCCCATAAACATCTGTGGACATGATCAAATACATCTGAATCCCAGCAGCGGGGACAACTTTGGCTCAGCATGAGCCTCCTCTTTCTCCCTTTTTCTCATGTCATTGTTTTTTCCAGTGTGCTCTGTTTGCATTTAAATGTAACACAGCCTTAATAAAGTTTCCAAACTCACCTATAGTTTTAACATACTTTGGACTAGAGAAAACAGTGCTAGTTATGAATACTGATGTCTTTTAGGTTTGTACTAGAAGGAAGAGAAATTCGTATCAATATGTCTTGTGCAGTATTTATCACCATGAATCCCAGGTAAGTATCAGTGAATCTAGTGGGAGTAGACACAGACAAAATTTATTTTCTTAAATCTTATCTATAGATGAAGTTGCTTGACATTTACATCTATCCATATATCTGCCTCCATCATCCTCTGAACACTTCTACTCCCCACAGCATTTATGAACAGCTGCACTCTGCACCTGTTCATATGGATAAGGATAATCTCACATTAAACTTCTGACCAAGACATATTTTTACTTTATGTATACCCAGAGAGAAAGGAAAAGGTCAGGAGTTTTTCACAAAGAGGACACAGGCAGAAAAGCTGACAAGAGTGGCAGGAGGAGTAAGAATATAGTGGTTGCAGGGAGCAGAGGTTTGGCAGATTTAATAAATATCTGATTAAATGCTGTCATTGTCCAGGGAATCCGAGGGAATTAATATGAGGTAAATTGTGGGAGGAGGAACAGAAAGAAAATATGATAAACCAGGAAGCTCTTTAAAATGAAAGGTACAATAAAAACTGTCTTGTAAACTAATTTTCAGATAAAGGTCACATAGAACACCAATCTAATTCTTTGGGGGGAAAGTATTTGATTCCTTATTTGAAAAATTGAAAAGTGGTGTTTTTATTGTTTGTTTTTCTTTTCCTCTTTAGATATGGAGGTGGAGTAGAGCTCCCAGATAACTTAAAATCTCTGTTTCGCCCAGTGGCAATGATGGTGCCCCATTATCAAATGATTGCTGAAATAATACTGTTTTCATTTGGTTTCAAATCTGCAAAATCACTCTCTGGAAAGCTAGCTAACCTTTATGAATTAGCTTGCAAACAGCTCTCACAGCAGGTAAATAACCACTTTTCTCAAAATATTTAAAGGTGATTATATAAAAATAACTTTAAGCAAAACTTTTCTAGTATTGGTCCAGGGATGACTTGGGTCCATACCAAACAATGGAGCTAGAATTCCTATCAACACATTAAAATAATAGAGCTAGAATTTCCGTCAACATATTAAGTCCATGTATGAGCTTCACATAAGGCAAACTGTAAAATCAGTCAAGATTCTAAGTCTTTCTTCCAAGATCTGGAAAGAGTAATTGAGCATTTGTTGTTGTAAATTACAGACTGTTTTTTCCATACAAGGAAGTTAATATCTAGAGCAGTTATTCTCAAACTTTACCGTGTACCAGAATCATTTGGAGGATTTGTTAAAACACAAAGTGCTGGGCCTTACTCCTGAGTTTCTAATTATGTACATCTGCTGTGGGGTTCGAGAATTTGTATTTCTAACAAGTTCTAAAGTGTTACTGATGCTGCTGATCTGGATACCACGCTTCGACAATTATTGTGCTAGCATATGCCAGAGTATTTGTAACGCAAAATGGTTTGGACAGCTAACCACATTTTCTCCAAAAGTGCTCCTCTTTTAATTTATCTCATTCTATTTCAGAAAAAACTTAATTCAGATACTGATATTTCTTAACACCTTTAATACTTGTTAGTCTTTAAGAATGAGACTTTAGCTGGGCGCGGTGGCTCACGCCTGTAATCCCAGCACTTTGGGAGGCCGAGGCGGGTGGATCACGAGGTCAAGAGATTGAGGCCATCCTGGTCAACATGGTGAAACTCCGTCTCTACTAAAAATACAAAAAATCAGCTGGGCATGGTGGCACGTGCCTGTAATCCCAGCTAGTCAGGAGGCTGAGGCAGGAGAATTGCCTGAACCCAGGAGGCGGAGGCTGCGGTGAGCCGAGATCGAGCCATTGCACTCCAGCCTGGGTAACAAGAGCGAAACTCTGTCTCAAAAAAAAAAAAAAAAAAAAGAATGAGACTTTAGAAACACCAGTTTGGGAGATAAATTAGAGCATTAGCAACATAACCAAGGGTTTTGGGGATTTATAACACTGTTTCCCTGCAGAGCATAGATTACCTGTAATATAACTATATACTGTATGTATTTGTTGTCAAATTTTTTCTTTAGAAACTTTAATAATTCAGATATTTTAATGTTTGATAGGATCATTATGATTTTGGCTTGAGATCTCTGAAGATAATTTTAATAATGGCTGGAAAGAAGAAACAGGAGTTTAAATGGTCAGTCAAATTTTGAATTGTTAGGTCAAAGGGAGTTATATACTGCTGGGAAAATAATTTGTAGAATCATAGGTAATGATGCCAAGTTAAAACAAGGAACCCCCAGATAGTTATAGTAAAGGTGGAGACTATTTGGGAATTATGAAAGAAGAGTAAGACAAAATGCACAAAAATCACAGAGTGCTTTTCCCCAGTAGAGAGCCTATTCTTTTAAAAGAAAGTGTTTTACAAAATAAAAGATATAATGGAACAAAAGACCTCATTTAGAAGAGTACTAACTCAATGAGAAATGTATAGCCTATATGAATATACCTATGTGACAAATGTGTAAAACCCAAATGAGGAAAACTTTAAAAAAGGATTGTAAGAAATGAAAATGTATTTAACTGAAATAATATACCATCTTAATAAAATCATAATGTCTTAAAGGACTTAGCATCATAATGATTTAAATATTTTAAATGTTAATTTGTGAATGGAAATGCAATCTCAGTAAAATATTAAAAGGATATTTTGTTTGTTAGTTTTCTTGTTTTTAGGCAAGCTGATCCTAAAGTTCACACGGAAAAATAAACAAGCCTTGCTAGAAAAAGATGAAAATGCAAGGGCAATGAAGGGGAGATATCCCTTTGTGTATTAAGACATATAACAAAGCTTCAATGATTAAAACACTGTGGTACTGGCTCATAAGTAGAAAAGCAAACCATTGGAACCGTATAGAAAGTCCAAAAATAGGACTATGTGCTTAGGACATTTATTATATCATAAATCCACGGGGAAGAATAGGCTTTTTAATTAATGCTTTTGCAAAAACTAAACAGCCATCAGGATAAAAATCAAGTTGGAACCATTGTCCACATCATTTACTAGGAATAACTCTAAAAGGATAAAATAAATATAAAAAATTTAAATGATTTGAAGAAACCAATGTCCTTTGTTCTTGGAATACAGAAGATCTTTAAAACTAAGACTCTAAATCTGGAAGCCACAGAAGAAAAGATTTATAAATGGTCAAAAATACATTTTTTGAAGTCAAAAGACAATTCATAAATTAGGGAAAAAATTGTAAATCATATTACACATAGCTTATCCTCTTAATGTATAAAGATTTCCTAGAAATTTAGGGAAAAAAATCAATAGGAAAATGGGCAAAGCACATCAACAGATAGTTCTTAGAAAAAAAAATATAAAAGTGCCTTAAATATATAAAAATACACTCAACCCCACTCATAATGAAAGAAGTGAAAATTAAAATGACACTGAAATTCTGTTTTTCGCTTAACAGATGGTCAGAAATATAAAAGTTGGACAAAACCTTGGTGAAACTATAGGAAAGCAAATGTGCTTTTTCCTTTCTGGGTAGAAAGAGACAAGATATATCTTTTAGTATTGGTATGATTGGGGCTACATTCATGTACTGCATATTAAAAATTTTTTTAAGTTTTTAAAATACGTTTTATTAATATGTTGCAAAAGGATCTATCGATATGATAACTGTTTCCCTTTTAAAGCAAAGTAATACGGATTGCTTATGGATACATACGCATGTAATAAAAAGTATAAAAAAAGGAACAAAGGATAGGAGATGAAGCCACAATAATTTATTTCTTAAAAATAAAAGAACTGGGCCGGGCGCGGTGGCTCAAGCCTGTAATCCCAGCACTTTGGGAGGCCGAGGCGGGTGGATCACGAGGTCAAGAGATCAAGACCATCCTGGTCAACATGGTGAAACCCCGTCTCTACTAAAAATATAAAAATTCAGCTGGGCAAGGTGGCGTGTGCCTGTAATCCCAGCTACTCAGGAGGCTGAGGCAGGAGAATTGCCTGAACCCAGGAGGCGGAGGTTGCGGTGAGCCGAGATCGTGCCATTGCACTCCAGCCTGGGTAACAAGAGCGAAACTCCGTCTCAAAAAAAAAATAAATAAATAAATAAAAGAACTGAGGCATATGTTGCAAATGGCCTGTATAATATTGATGGCATGTAAATAGGTGTCTGTTGTTAAATGTTTTCTGATTTTTTAACAAAGATAAATAGCATTCATATGTGAAACCCAAGTATGGCTCCCTGATGTCCCCAAGTCTGCTGGATTTTATAGTCCTATAGTCACCTAGTTCTTTACATAAGTATTCCAGTGAAAGTAGTACTGCTCTCCATTCGGAGCTCTTAACTGTATTCAAATGACAGGAAACCTAAAGTTCTCATGGGCACCCTTCAATTAGTTTCCATTTCCAGTATACAGGAGACAGTCCATCTCCTGCCACTGAAAGCAGCTCTGTTCTCTCTAGTCTGTGCTGCCCTAAATGTGACAGCCCCATTTCTTTGATTCTTCCAAAACACCACAGAAGCCATGTGATTGTATGAAGATTACTATATTTTAAGAGAGCTGATGAGTTTTTTATTAAGAGAGTAAAGCACAGTGAACAACCTAAGAATTAATATTAGACAATTTGCTTTTTAAAAGTTTCTTGTCCCTTTTGCCACCAAAATAGTAATTATTGTTCTTGCCTCTTTCCTCTTCCTTTCCCTGTCCCTTCCTTTTCTTCTCTCCCACCCTGTTCTTCCTAAGTCTTCTGACCTTATTTCTTAAGCATCCAAGAATACTACAAATTTGTCTCATTTTTCCCTGGCATAGTAATTCATTCCTTCCTTTTTTTTGTACTTTCTCTTTCTGGATCATGTTGGAAGAATTAATGTTAATTCTCAAATATACTTTCAAGGTGTTTAAATTAAAACACAAAGCAGCATATTAATTTCCTTGGGCTGCCTTAGAAAATTACTACAAAGTTGTATCTTAAAATAACAGAAATGTATTTTCTCACAGGACCTGAGGCCAGAAGTCTGACATCCAGGTTGTGGGCAGGGCTGCCCTCTCTCCAGAGACTCTTGGGTAGATTCCATTCCTTGTCTCCTCCAGCTTCTGGTGGTTGCCTGTGTTTCTTGGCTTATGGCCACACTACTCTAATCTGTTATTGTTCCTTCAAATTATGGGAAACCTAAAGTTTTCAAATAGTCACTAAAGTAACATAACCTTAGCTCTAGTCAATCAGTATATGGCAGTCACTTGGACACAGTGACTCAAAGGTAGACACATGGTCACATCACCTACTCCTCTGTGTGTCCCTGCATCTCTCTGTCTCTTATTAGGATGCATGTGATTTTATTTATATCTGGATACTCTAGGATAAACTCTTCTTAAAATTCTTAATCACCTCTTTTGCAATATTAAATAATATTCAGATTCTGGGGATTAAGAAGTGAATATGTCTTCGTAGGGGGCATTTTTTTTTTCTTTTAAGGAAAAGAGGCAGTTTTTTCCCTCTTTCCTTTAAAAGAATTTTTCAAATCATTTTATTTAGAAATCAAAGTAATTATCCAGCAACTGGAGTTCTAGGACTCTCATGGTAGGAAAGATTTGCTTGGCAACATCTAGAGAATTAACATCTCTTCGAGTATACACTTAAAAGATTTATGGTCCTTACCACAATATTGAGCCACAAAGTGAGCCTCAACTAATTCCAAAGAACTGGTATCATGAAGATAATCATAATGGGTGAAAACAAGGTATATTAGCTATCTTATTCTTGAATTTTAGTTAGATGTTGACATTAAAGCTTTAATTATTTATTCTTAAATTATGACAGACCCATTAGTAATTTCATATGCCATTTCCAAAATTACTTTTGTAATATTTAATGAAGTGTTACCTTTGTCCAATAACAGCGTATTGTAACAATATTATAATATTTTATTTAAGCCATTTTCTCTCTATATATATATTTAGTACTTGCCCTACTACCAAACATATTAGTCAGCCCTGATATTTTTCATTTTTCTTTAAGATAGAGCCAGATCTGTCTTGAGAAAAAATATTAAAAGATCATTGTCATTCTGTAGGACCCCAGCAGTAAAGTCTGGAACCCTTTTCTGCTCTGGCACGGCCCCCTCCCTTTGACTTCAATTGGGCACTTGCCCTCTCTTTACCAAAATACATTCAAAAGAAAGACTCAGTGAGGTATTCTCAGGGAAACATAAATGACTAAAGTCAATTCCAACCCAATATAACTCTCCCATTGTAATAACCAAGTGGTTATAGGAATACAATTACAGTAGTGCAAAATTACAGATAGGAGGAATGTTTTCAGTTTTATTGCAGTGTAAGGTGAGTGTATATAGTTAACAGTATTGTATATTTCAAAATAACCTGAAGAGAAGATTTTAAATGTTCTCCTCACTAAGAAATGATAAATGTTGGGACACCTTTGCAGGAAACAGCTTTCTTCCTTTCTATCTCTAATATGGTATCATAGCATGTGTAGTTACTTTTTATTTTGATTATGTGTTTAATATATACAATATATACCGAAATGTTTAGTATATGAAATATTGTTACTATAGAGTAACATATGTATTATAACTTACGTCAGTATGCTTTTGTTAAAATTCACAGAAAACTCAATTTGGCTTAAATAGTGAAGGGAACGGTTGTTTCATCCAATCAGAAAATCCAGAGATGGGGCAGGATATGATTGTTTTGACTAAGGTTTCAATTTAATTTTTCTGAGCTATTCTCAGTACTGCAGTCCCCCATATACTGGGTTCCTTTTAGGCTGACTTCATTTTTGGTGGCAGGACACCTTCTAATAATAACTAGGGCTGTCCATATTATTGAACTAAAGGCCTGAACTTTGCTCTGAGTGGACTCATCACTTGTCTACCCTTGAGTCACTGTGTCCAAGTGGCCGCTATACACTAATTCACTAGAGGTGAGGTTGTTACTTCAGTGAATATTTGTTATGCTATATACTTGATTTTCCAAACTCTCTTGTAACTGTGGCTTTGACATACCACCTTGGCAAGTCAGATACAGCTACGTTAGAATCTGAACCTGAAGCTAGTGAAAAAAGAAATGGAAATACACAGAGTCCATTCTGCTAAGGGTGACAGCAGTGGTAGTAGCTATAATCATTTACCAGAAATAGCAGAGGCAGTGAGCAGTACCAGCATCAGTCATGTATTGGTGTGACAGTCACTGCTATCTGGATCCATTGATGGTGGCAGACATGTATTTATAAGACTAGTTCTGTTGATGATTTTGACCATTGTTAACAGCTAGATAGCTTGCAGGCCTAGTTCTGGCCCTCCTAGAGATTTTTAAATAAATCAGTATGTTATTTTTTATTTTACATTAGCATAAATTCATTTCTGTTATTTGCAACAAAAAGCCCTTACTGATACAGTATCTTTCCCTGATTCAGTGCCTGGGGAATGGTGTTACTCTCATTGTTCTAGCCCATTTAGAGCCTATTTCTGAAGGTGGAGGTCTGGTTAATTCCACCCAAACTACATGGCTGCTATCCAGTGAGAGAGAGGAGGAAAGGACATTGGGAAAGCCACCCCTAAAAAAAGAATATTAATGGTCTTTAATGTCTGCAAAGCAAACTGACTAATTTATTCTTTATATTTGTTTTCTTATACCATTAAAGTGATACAGGTGACAATCTTTCTGAAGCAGATGAAACCTTGATTGTTATTGAGGCTGTAAGAGAAGCTACTTTGCCAAAATGTCCTCCTGAAGATGTCCCACTTTTTGAAAATATTATAGGAGATATTTTTCCAGAAGTGACAGTTTTAAAAGTAAATCAACTTGCCTTGGAGGTAAAAAGATCTTTCAAAATCATCACAAATTATTTAGCTATGGAATATAAATTTCTTAATTATTTTCAACTTCTGAAATGAGGATAATAGTGTCTGTTCTTCCCACTTTGAAAGGGTGCCTGGAGAATCAAATTAGATCAGCATTATGACAAAAACTTAAACTGTTAATATTCTGTAATTATTAAAATTACATATTATAATTATAAAGCCCTTTATTGTTTCTCTTATATCTAGAGCCTCACAGTAGTTGCCTTAGGCTAGGTGAGAACTCACTGTCTCTTGTTAATATTATTACAGAGCTTCATACCACACCCTGCATTCCAGTATTTTCCCATATGGCCACCAGAGTTGCTTTCCTTAAATATACATTTGATCACGTTAGCAAAGCAACTGCTGAATCAATGTTGCCTACAATACAAGATTGACATTAAGTATTTTGGCATCTAAGGCCTTTCACAATCTGGCTGGACCAGGTTGTCTTCTCAGTATATCCTGTTCTTCTTCCTTCCTCCTCTTCCTCTCTTCCCTGTTATTTCTACCTTGAACTTCTATTATCTGACTTTTCCAGGACTTTATCAGGTGTCAGGCCATTAAACATGCCGATTCCTTTCCCTGAAACCCAAAGAAAAAAAAAGTTTTAAAAATTTATTTAGAAAACGAACCACTTCATAATTATTTGTTCTTTAAATATAACTAATAGGCTATGTACATAACTTTATATACAACAAGAACAGAATTCATGTTATTTCTGAGCACACATGAAAAACCTACACACAAAATGACCATTCCTTAGGTGATGTAGGAAGGTTTAAACAACTCTCTTGAAAACTATCTGGACCAGAAGTTATGAGAGGATAGCTCTTTCATGGCCCTAATCTATGAAATTAAATCTAAAATTTATTAATTTAAAATTTATATCTCCATAGTGGTTGTACTAATTTACATTTAAAACCACAAAGTATGAGGGTTCCCTTTCCTCCACATCCTCACCAGGATTTGTTATTGCCTCTCTTTTGGATATAAGCCATCTTAACTGGGGTGAGATAATATCTCATTGTAGTTTGATTTGTATTTCTCTAATGATCAATAATGTTGCCTATGTTTCCATTACCCATTTGCCATTTGTAAGTCTTCTTTTGAGAAATGTGTATTCAAGTCAAGAGAACAGTTTGGAGGTTGCTCAAAAAACTAAAAACAGAGCTACTATATTGACTAGGAGTGGTGAGAGAGGGCATCCTTGTCTTGTGCCTGTTTTCAAAGGGACTGCTTCCAGTTTTTGCCCATTTAGTGTGATATGTGGGTTTGTCATAAATTGCTCTTATTATTTTGAGATACATTCCATCAATACTGGGTTTATGGATAGTTTTTAGCATAAAGTGCTGTTGAATTTTGTCGAAAGCCTTCTCTACATCTATTGAGATAATCACGTGGTTTTTGTCTTTGGTTCTGGTTATGTGATGGATTACGTTTATAGATTTGCGTATGTTGAACCAGCCTTGCATCCCCGGGATGAAGCCTACTTGATCGTGATGGATAAGCTTTTTGATGTGTTGTTGAATTTTGTTTGCCACTATTAAGGATTTTCGCATCAATGTTCATCATGGATATTAGCCTGAAATTTTCCTTTTTAATTGTGTCTTTGCCAGGCTTTGGTATTAGGATGATATTGGTCGCATAAAATGAGTTAGGGAGGATTCCCTCTTTTGGTATTGTTTGAAATAGTTTGAGAAGGAATAGTACCAGCTCCTCTTTGTACCTCTGGTATAATTTGGCTGTGAACCCATCTGGTCTTGGACTTTTTTTTGGTTGGTAGGCTATTACTTGTTGCCTCAACCTCAGACCTTGTTAATTGGTCTATTCAGGGATTCAACTTCTTCCTGCTTTAGTCTTGGGAAGGTGTAAGTGTCCAAGAATTTATCCATTTCTTCTAGATTTACTGGTTTATGTGCATAGAAGTGTTTGTAGTAATCTCTGATGGTAGTTTGTATTTCTGTGGGATTGGCAGTGATATCCCCTTTATCATTTTTTATTGCATCTATTTGGTTCTTCTCTCTTTTCTTCTTTATATTTTCTTTTAGTGTAGGATAATTGATGGTTATACGCTGGTAACCTCTGGTTCTTCAATGTCAAAGAATGGGTTCTTAATCTGGGGGTGGATCTATGAATTTGCTATTAGGTCTCCGTAAACGTAAAATTTTGTGTTCACTGTATTTTTCTGGAGACAGTAGTAATAATTTTCATTATTCTCAGAGACTGAGGTTGGTGAACTAAAAAAATCAAGAACTAGGGCAGTTACCTAACCAGAGAGAACGAGCCGGCACGCTGGTAGCAGAGGCTATGGCAGGCTGCGGAGGCACTGGGAGCCACTGAGTGACCCTCCTCGCCCATTCGGACCCTTCCCCCATCCACCCAACCGTGGTCCGCGCCCCACGCCCCACGCCCATGGCCGTGCCAACCCCACACAGTTCCCTGGACTCCGCGCCCTGCGTCGCTGACCAATTCGCAGCTTCGCACCACTGCAGCCAGTCTCACCTGGCTGCACCGCCCGCCCACTACCCCGGCCACAGCCCCCGCTCCCACCACAGCACCTGAAAAGACAGCAACAGCTGTGGAGAACGCTGCTGAGTGGAACAGAGCGCAGCCCGACCGCGGGACCTACTTACTCGCCTTACTGATTGTCATGTTTTTATGAGGTTACAACTTTTCAAAGAACTTTTGTATGCAAAGGAACTTTTTTAAAAGGACGCCTCCAATTTATATTTAAACCAAAGAAGAAGGATCTCGGGCAATTTGGGGTTTTGGGTTTTAGCTTCGTTTCTAAGTCTTCTCTTTGTTGACTTTGGGGCTTGGGTGTCCCAGCTGCTTCGGGCTCCTGAGGACGTTCTGGGGCCCCACATCAATGAGGCAGCCACCTGGCGACACGCTGCTCCCATCTTTCTCCAAGTTCGCATCTGGCCAGGAGGGAAGGGAGAAGACACTGCATCAAGCTCGTGCTCCGAATAACCGCTGGCGGGAGGAGCTCTCCCACGTGAAGCGACTTCCCCCGTGCTTCCTGGCCGCCCTTGTGACCTGGCGGCGGCAACTGTGGCCACAGGCCTGGAGAGCTGCAGACCCCGTGCCGCTTGCGTGGTAGCAGCCTGGCGCTTGTACCCTGTGAGAGACGGAGGAGTTCAACGATCTCCTGGACCTGGACTTTATCCTCTCCAATTTGCTGTCCCATGCGGAGTCGGTGGCTGCCACTGTGTCCTCATCAGTATCAGCGTCTTCCTCATCTTCCCCAACGAGCCGCGGCCCTGCCAGCGCTCCCTCCACCTGCAGTTTCAGCTGTCCGATCCCGGCGGGAGCAACCCAGGCGTCGCAGCCGGCGGAGGCCTCCTGTATGGCAGGGAGTCCGCTACCCTCCTACGGTTCTCTTCAACCTGGCGGGCATCAAAGACATGAACCCCTCTGGGGGATTCATAGTGGAGCTCCTGCGGCCGGAATTGGACCCAGTGTACATTCCCCGGCAGCAGCCGCCGCCAGGTGACGGGCTGATGGGCAAGTTTGTGCTGAAGGCTCGCTGAGTGCCCCGGGCAGCGAGTACCGCAGCCCATCGGTCATCAGTGTCAGCAAATGCAGCCCTGACCGCAGCCACCTGGCAGTGGTGGCGCCCTACAATGGCGATCCACCGCACATGTGCCCCAAGATCAAGCAGGAGGCAGTCTCCTCTTGCACCCACTTGGGCTCTGGACCCCCTCTGAGCAATGGCCACCGCCTGGCAGCACACGACTTACGCCTGGGGCGGCAGCACCCCAGCAGAACTACCCTGACCCTGGGTCCTGAGGAACTGCTGAGCAGCAGGGACTGTCATCCTGCCATACAGCCGACCTCCCGCCCTGCTTCCATTCCCACACTGGGCCCAATTACCCATCCTTCCTGCCTGACCAGATGCAGCCCCAAGTCCCGCCGCTCCATTAACAAGAGCTCGTGCCACCCGGTTCCTGCATGCCAGAGAAGCCCAAGCCAAACAGGGAAGACAATCGTGGCCCTGGAAAAGGACCACCACCCACACTGTGATTACACAGGCTGCAGCAAAACCGACACAAAGAGTTCCCATCTCAAGGCACACCTGTAAACCTACACAGGTGAGAAACCTTACCACTGTGACAGGGATGGCTGCGGATGGAAATTCGCCCACCCAAATGAACTCACCAGGCACTACCGTAAACACATTGGGCACCGTGCATTCCAGTGCCAGAAATGCAACCGAGCATTTTCCAGGTCAGAGCACCTCGCCTTACATATGAAGAGACATTTTTAAATCCCAGACAGTAGATATATGACCCACACTGCCAGAGGAGAATTCGGTATTTTTCTACCTATCACACTGTCTTCCCAATGAGGGGAGGAGCCCAGCTAGAAAGCACTACAATCATGGTCAGGTTCCCAGCTCAGTCAACTTTTGAGTGGATAATCAGCAAAAATGAGGAATCCAAAAGACAAAAATTAAAGAACCGATGGGGTCTGTGGCTGAATCTTCTATCATTCTAGTTCTAAATTGGTCTTGAATATTCCTGGACTTATAAAATCCCAAGGGGGTAACTGGAAGTGGTGGATATCAGGGTATAAATTATATCCATGAGTTGGGGGAGGAAAGACCAGAATTCCCTTGAATTGTGTATTGATGCAATATAAGCATAAAAGGTTGCCTTGTATTTTCTTTACCTTCTAAAAGCCATTATTATGATGTTAGAAGAAGAGGAAGAAATTCAGGTACAGAAAACATGTTTAAATAGCCTAAATGATGGTACTTGGTGAGTCTTGGTTCTAAAGGTACCAAAGGAGGAAGCCAGAGTTTTCAAACTGCTGCATACTTTGACAAGGAAAATCTATATTTGTCTTCCAATCTACATTTATGACCTAAGTCTGATAATATACCTGGTTTACTTCTTTGGCATTTTTATGCAATCTGTTATGCACTGTGGTTTCAGATGTGCAATAATTTGTACAATGGTTTATTCCCAAGTATGCCTTAAGCAGGACAAATGTTTTTTTTCTATATAGTTCCTTGCCTTAATAAATATATAATATAAATTGTAGAAAAAAATCAAGAACTACTATCTTAAATGGTAATTGGTACTTAGTTAAGAGAGATTTTGGAAGATAAAAGTTTAAGGGTTCGATTTGCAATGCATTTTAAATTTATGTATTTATTTCCTTTTAGAAAGCAATATATACTGCAACTCAACAATTAGGTTTACAAAACTGGTCATCTCAGAAAGAGAAGATTATACAGTTTTATAATCAACTTCAGGTAAGCATAAAATACCATGTTAGCAATCCTTTACCTGTGTTTCAATAGGAATTAATAAAATCAAGAGCAAAAATGTAATAATAATAATAAAAGAGATGTTACAGGTGTATTTTTTCAAGTAAAGTGATTTATTAACTATTAGTCAAGATTTTATTCTTTGACCTTCACATTAACTCAACAAATGTATGTTTTCACCTTCATTTTTTTAATACATACACATAAAAACCCTACAAATATAATGCAAAATATTCTGTGTTCCATTGCTATACCTTCTTTGAATTTCCTGTCTTCCATGAATGAACCATTTGGATAAACATCAGAATGGGCACTTCCCTGATTACTAGTAAGATTGTGTATCCTTTTTTATGCTTATTAGCCATTTAAGTTTTCTATGAATTGCCTGATTATGTCATGTACTCATTTTTTAGTTGGGTTGTTTGTCTTTCTGTCAGCAAACGTATAGATTTTTCATTATGCATTATATACCATTCTTCTTCTACTACTTTTCTTTTTTCTTCTTTCATCTTTCTTTTTCTTCTTCAAGATAGAGTCTCACTCTGTCACCCAATTTGGAGCGGAGTGGTACAATCGTAGCTCACTGCAACCTCCAACTCCTAGGGTACAGATACATGCCACTGTGCATGACTAATTCTCTTAATTTTTGTAGAGGCAAGGTTATGCTATGTTGCCCAGGCTGGTCTCAAACTCATGGCCTTAAGCAGTCTCCCTGTCTTGACCTCTCCAAGTGCTTGGATCACAGGCATGAGCCACCATGCCCAGCCTATATCATAATTCTTTGTTGGTTATGTGCATTGCAAATAAATTCTGTGAGTCTCGGCTTTTTTTTTTTTTTTTTTAGTTTTAAAATGTCCACTTTATTCCATATAACACTTAACCAGATATGATTTACCTCTGAGGAAGAGATGGCGCGTGAAACTGATCTATAGTAAAACACTCTAAGAAATACAGTCCAATTTTATACATTTCCAGGCATCCCTAGACAAGGGTGTCACAATGCACAATGCAGAAACAGGTATCACTACTACATTTTACATAAAAGGGAAATATCAATAAACTTAAGAAAGTAGTAAATTCACCTGTCCCTTAAAATATGTGTATGCAATTGTTACAAAGCTATAGTAAATGGTTTATAAAATGTAATTTTATTTTATGTTACTCTGCTGTTACATAGGGCATAACATTTTCACAAGGCTTTTTTGGGACTACAGTCAATGATTAGCAACACACAATAGTGGTCCAACTTTCTAAATAATAATCACTAGACAAACTGGACACCCTCTCACATGTGCACAAATCTTCATGGAAAAGTAGTAAAGTTTTAGACTTGGACTTGTACACTTTAATTTATTTCCCCTTTCTAGTGTATTAAGAAATGATATGCACTTTAATTTGCCAAAAGCAATGCTTGTATTCCGGCAGCAAGATGCTACTTCTATTACATAGTAAAGTGAATATCAGAACTACAAAGGCAGTAGGTGTAAGTGAATTTTTATTGGGAAGGGAGATTGTCAACTTGAACAGCAGCAAATAAAAAGTGAATAAGGAAACTCCCTGTTGCCAGAGATATATATGACCTCCTTATGTGATTATAGGAGACATTTCAATTTGTTACTCCTAGCCAGAGATGGCAAGTGCTTCCCCATTCAGCTAATACTTCTGGATTTCTACTAAAAGAATACATAAAGAGCATGGAAAAGTTGCTTATTGAAAGGAAACCCCCTAAGAGCAAGGGAGGGAATGTAGAAATTGAAGTTATGTGGAACACTTCAAATTATAATTAACTACATTTTCATATCTTCACAGTAATACAAAACACAGTCACTTGCAGAACTGGTTCAGATTGCTTAAATACCAAATACATTTTTAGTTCTCTACGTAAGTGTTTAGAAGTTATTTATGTTTCTGTGAAATAAGGCTATTAATACTTTCTACAGCAGTAACTGCACACCAGGAAGGCCAAGACAAACACAAATCAAGGAATGAAGTTTTCCCAAAGCTGCAGTGTGAAAAGACCATAAGCAGTTGATTCCATATACATGAATGGGTTTCTTTGCTATAGGAAATCCAAGTGGAATAAGGAATGGAGATGTGTAAAAAGGTTTCTTGAAGGAAAGAAGGATAAAACCCTGCCTGGATTTAGTTTTCATCCCCTTCTCCTGCATTACATTCTTCTCCTGCACTGTCTGATGTCCCAAGTGTTAGGCTGCATCTAAGCAACTGCATGATGAGGGTGCTGTCTTTGTCTGAGTCTTCATTCAGTGTATCAGGTTCAGCAACGGCCTCCTCAAAAGCTGTTTTAGCCAGCATGCAAGCAAGCTCTGGGTTATTAAGAATTTCACGGTGAAATACAGAAAAGTTAAGAGCAAGCCCCAGGTAGATTGGGTGTGTGGGTTGCATCTTTTTCTTGCTTATATCAAATGCCTCTTGGTAAGCTCCTTGGCAATTATCTATCATTTGTTTTTGATCATCACCACATGCAACTTCAGCAAGGTACTGGAAATAATCACTCTTCATTTTCAAATAGAAGACCTTATTCTCTGGATTAGTTACGTTGGCTATTATTTATCCAACCATTCCAGGACAGTAGTGCAGATGGATCTCAGCTCAGACTCCACTTTCTCCTGATAGTCCTTAATTAGCTGCAACTTCCTGTCAGAGGTGTCGGTTTTCTGCTCGATGCTCGAGATGACCCTCCAGGTGGACCTGCAGCCCCCAACCATGTTCTTGTAGGCCATGGAGAGCAGGTTACGCTCCTCATTGGACAGATCAGCACCCTGCTTGGTCATTGCCTTCATGCAGGTGGTGATGCTGTCGTAGCACTTGGCCTGCTCAGCCAGCTTGGCCTTCTTGATCAGCTCCATCTTCTCCATGGCTGGCCCAGACCAGGGTGGATGAAGGGCGAGGAGAGTGAGGGTGAGCGCCCACCTGGAGCAGGAGGATCCTGGAGAGGTTCACATCTCCATGGCTGCAACACGAGTCCAAGGCTTGGCTTTTTAGAAATGTCTATTGTGCTCAGTTGTGAAAAGACATTTTTAATGCAGAAGATACATTTTTCTAAATATTTTTACCTGTCTTTGAAAAGATATTTACTATAAATTTTTCTTTTTCTATTTTTTTAAATCATACTTTAAGTTCTGGGGTATATGTGCAGATCTCGCAGGATTGTTGTGTAGGTACACACATGCCATGGTGGTTTGCTGTCTCCATCCCCTCATCACCTATATTAGGCATTTCTCCCAGTGTTATCCCTCCCCAACATCCCTGCCCCATGCTGTCCCTCCCCTACACCCCCACCTTCCAATAGACCCTGGTGAGTGATATTCCCCTCCCTGCGCCCATGTGTTCTCATTGTTCAACACCCGCCTATGAGTGAGAACATGGGATATTTGGTTTTCTGTTCTTGTTTCAGTTTGCTGAGAATGATGGTTTCCAGATTCATCCATGTCCCTACAAAGGAAATGAACTCTCCTGTTTTATAACTGCATAGTATTCCATGGTGTATATGTGCCACATTTTCTTTATCCAGTCTATGTTTGATGGACATTTGGGTTGGTTACAGGTCTTTGCTATTGTAAACAGTGCCGCAATGAACATACGTGTACTTGTGTCTTTTTAATAGAACAAGTTATAATCCTTTGGGTATTTACCCAGTAGTGGGATTGCTGGGTCACATGGAATTTCTATTTCTAGATCCTTGAGGAACGTCACATTGTCTTCCACAATGGTTGAACTAATTTACACTCCCACCAACAGTGTAAAAGTGTTCCTATTTCTCTACATCCTCTCCAGCATCTGTTGTCTCCAGATTTTTTAATGATTGCCATTATAACTGGTGTGAGATGGTAGCTCAATGTGCATTTGATTTGCATTTCACTAATGACCAGTGATGATGAGCATTTTTTCATATGTTTGTGAGCTGCAAAAATGTCTTCTTTTGAAGAGTGTCTGTTCATACCCTTTGCCCACTTTGTATGGGTTGTTGTTTTTTTTTTCTCGTAAATCTGCTTTAGTTCTTTGTGTATTCTGGATATTAGCCCTTTGTCTGATGGGCAGATTGCAAAAAGTTTTTCCCATTCTGTTGGTTGCCAGTTCACTCTAATGATTGTTTCTTTTGCTGTGCAGAAGCTCTTTAGTTTAATTAGATCCCATTTGTCTATTTAGGCTTTTGTTGCCATTGCTTTTTGTGTTTCAGTCATGAAGTCCTTGCCTGTGCCAATGTCCTGAATGGTATTGCCTAGGTTTTCTTCTAGGGCGTTTATGGTGTTAGGTCTTATGTTTAAATCTTTAATCCATCTGGAGTTAAGTTTTGTATAAGGTATAAGGAAGGGGACCAGTTTCAGCTTTCTGCACATGTCTAGCCAGTTTTCCCAACATCATTTATCGAACAGTGAATCTTTTCCTCATTGCTTGTTTTTGTCAGGCTTGTCAAAGATCACATGGTTGTAGATGTGTGATGTTACTTCTGAGGCCTTTGTTCTGTTCCATTGGTCTATATCTCTGTTTTGGTAACGGTACCATGCTGTTTTGATTACTGTAGCTTTGTAGTATAGTTTGAAGTCAGGTAGCATGATTCCTCCAGCTTTGTTTTTTTTTTACTTAGGTTAATCTTGGCTATGTGGGCTCTCTTTTGGTTCCATATGAAGTTTAAATTGGTGTTTTCCAGTTCTGTAAAGAAGATCAAGGGTAGCTTGATGGGGTTAGCATTGAATCTATAAATTACTTTGGGCAGTATGGCCATTTTCATGATATTGATGTTTCCTAACCATGAGCATAGAATGTTTTTCCATCTGTTTGTGTCCTCTCTTATTTCCTTGAGCAGTGGTTTGTAGTTCTCCTTGAAGAGGTCATTCACATCCCTTGTTAGTTGTATTCCTAGGTATTTTATTCTCTTTGTAGCAAAACCATGCTGAATAGGTGAAAGGTAAAAGTGTTCCCCTTAAGAATTGGAATAAGACAAGGATGTCCACTCTCACCACTCT